GATTCCTATAGTTACTGCTATATAGTTAAATAGGCCGCCCAGTCGGTATAGTGGTCAAGGAAGCTGACTACGATGCCGAAGGGCCTGGGTTCGAATCCCGGAAAAGAAATGGTTGTAACTGTCCGTCCCTTCATAGGAAAGGCAATAATAAAGAGCCCATCACATCCGACCTTGTATAGATTAATGGATTGGGTTATATTTGTAATTGTTCACAATCTGACATTGGAAAAATAATATAGTTAAATAGTAGTTATGACCGTATTCAAAATGGATAATATGCAAACACATATACCTTATGTTACAATGAAGAAACAGAATGAGGTAGCCATGTCTGACCACATCCCCACATGCATAACCAATGCAGCATACATCTTGCTGGATATTTGTAATCTGGATATCCCAAAATTAATCTGAAAATTCTACAAATTCAAGATGATGCAGTTAAGTACATCCCAAATAACATAAATATCAATTCACCAATTGTAGTGTAGATACTCGTTATCGAACAAAAGCATTTTTTTCTAATCCCCACATGCTCATTTTGTGATCGTTTGTATGTCTCATTGATTTCTACGGAGAATGATCCATAATTCTATGGATTTTCTTTTGTGGTGTTACAATTAATTTTATTAATTATGTATTTGCTGAGAAACTAGATTACAGATCAAAGGCAACACTAAAATATTTTTTTCCTCAACTACTTAGCTTTCCTTATTGCCCAAGACAAAAATTTTACCTGTTTCAACCAAGTATAAACATTACATAACTACTACAACTTATGCAGAAAATACTGTTTCAAATAATTTGGATTAAAACAACAGCAAAATATGATGGAAAGCCATCAATATTTGATGAGCTGAGGAATAACGATATTAAAAAAATAGTTAATACATTTAAAATTTTTATAGAATTTTTAAATATATGTTTCACAGATTTGCTGTTGCTCGGATGTAAAATACTGTTTCACCATGTAGAACTGAATATATTGAAATAATAAAATACTTAATCAGGATAAAAATTTTCTTTAGTATCTCATATTGTTGAAAAACAACTGTCATATTAAAATAATAAATTACATATTCAAATTTTACAAAGATGATTAACATCATTACAGAGTATCATCCTTCAAGTAGTCAAAAATAATATCCTTACATTAATAATTACATATTGGTTATTGTACATACTGATATCACAAAAGAATGATAAACATATGAAAAGCTGAAAACCATAATATTAAAGAAAGATATTCAACTTCTCTCAGGTAACAGAAATTATTTTAATAGAGAATCTTTGATGTCTGATCAGTTGAAATACAACCATTCAACTAAACTAATATATAATTAAATATAATCATACATAAGTCTTCATACAAATTGGTTTACAATAAAGAACTGTCATATAATATAATAAATAACACATATACGTTTTCTAAATATCTCACACAATATTTTCATAAAGAATTACTAATATGATTCTGTACGAAAATACTGCATTGGAAACTTTGAAAAAACAGTAAAAAATAATGTTCACATTAATATAATTGCATATTTATTTTATAGAACTTTATCTACAATCTTTTAATAAAGAACTATTAATGCCTGAGGAAATGTAAAATTAAGATTAAAATAATATGCTTTCTTAAGAAAAATCAAATTCTCTTACAGCACAAAATGCTTAATCTCTAGTCATAACAAACACAGCCATCACATTAAAATATCAAATTATTCACACATACAAGAAGAGACATATGCCAGTGTGTCAAGTAGAAAATTAGGCATGTATCAACCTTAGGATTCCTTTTTGCAGAATACTTTTGTGCCTTGAAGAAAAGGGGAGTCACTCCTTGAAACCTTGTAAATTTAGTAGCATTTTGCATAAAACCGACATCATTATTTATATACCTAAAGATATTTACAAGACCCAAAGATGTTTATCAGCTGAAAACTAGAAGCTATAGTAACATAATAGAAACTATATTCAATTTAAGCGAAATCTATAATGAGAATTTGTTACATGGACTCAAAACTCTTGATCAATTGAAAAATTATATATATATATATGTGTGTGTAAGATAAAAACTCTGAATTATACCTTAAATTAACAGTAGCCCCTTAATTCCACCTTCTGGATAGGACCCTTCCTCTTCTCTACTCAAAGCGGCAATAACCTTTTTGAAACGGCGTCATATCTGAAAACCAATTCTGCATAATGCCATCTTAACCTCCTGCACCGCATATAGTTCTTAGTCAATTAGATTAACGAAAACTCTTACTATAAATACCATAGCAATCTACCTATACACTTTTTTAACTCCTCTTCCTGGCCGCTGTTTGGTCCGCCATTGTCTTTGCATTGTTTTGCTGTTATCTAAAACTGTGGGGGTGCATATTGCACCTATGATAATGTGTGAAGAAGACTATGTTTCAGTAATTAGTTCGTTGTCCAGCAATAAAAATTACATTCAATTCGGCCACGTCTCTTCTTCATTATACATTATTCAGACTATGCAGCGAAACAACTGCACAAAATTGTCACAGCTGTTGCCTAATCAAGACAATTGCAATCACTATTATTACATGTATATACATATGTAACAAAAACAGATTTATAAGATCTGATGTAGAAACACTGAGACTTACAAACACAGAAATAGTCATGGCACAGCACATAGATAGCATAATGACGAATTCTGATTGTATAGAATGCTAAAATGCTGAATCTGAAATGATCAAAAAAACTTGATAGTCGAGGCAGTTTAAATCTTCATTTTTATTTCAATTGGCATTTGTAGCCACAATTTACTTAGCACTCTTATCGTGCCTATTCAAGAACATTTACATTTTTTTAGTATTGCTGCGATAGGAAGAGAGAGAGAGAAAAAAAAATAGCTTTTTAATCAGAGGAGAGGCAGAAGCTAAAGTGTGCAATTTTCCAATACGAAAGCTTGCCAAGAGAAGGTTTTGGTTTAGGTTAGAAGGGTTTAAGTTCTCAAAATTTTGAGTTCAAGTTCCGAATTAGCTATATCATGAGCGTTCCACAAAACATGTGACTAGATTAACCTAGAATATGCATAGTCCAGAAAAGTTATTACTACTTTTAGAATACAGAGAGGAAATACCCAAATTAAAAATGAGGAATTAAGAGGCTACTACTAAATTAAATTATAAAGCTGATTTACATATTTTTTTATCTTGCACACACAGATTTATATTATAAAAAACTGCATAACATCTATATTTCGGCTTTAGAGAAAAGTGTAACTTTTGCCAAGAAATGCCAGTAACATTCAAAATTATATTACATATAAAATTTTGATTAAAAGAATTTATAATACAATATTAAAAACTATGTTTCATGTCTTGAAGAGCAAATGTCACATTAAAATAATGATTCCAAATTTTATAGACTAATGCATTACTAAAATTTCATAGGATGGTTCATTATAAGCTTATTGTCTAAAACTTTAGTATGTATCTGCTTAGTTGCAACTTTAATAGCAGTTAAAATGTGAAAAGTTATAATATATTGAAATATTTGCTCAAATACTCTGAAATACATAATTAGAAATCCAAACAGGCATTCTGGGCAAATAAACGAGATGAAACTTTTTTCTCCACAAGGATTTAGGTTCACAATCAATACTCAAAGAAGCAACACTAGCTAATTATAATTGGGTATTAAGACATAAAATCAAAATTAGAAAACATCATCAAAGGAAGCTTCTAAAAATGCTGAGTTCCAACCATAATTGGATAATCAAGATAAAAAATATTATTAACGAATGCTTCAAAGTGAAATATAGTTATACAGAAAATTCTGTTATTAATAACCTCAACAAAATGAAATCAATCAACTTCAAATGTAGACAGTTCAAAATTCAAGAACGATGACAATCCAGTAATGAAAAAGTTTCAACACTTTCTAAAGATTCAAAGCTTTTCAATGTAAACTGTATTTTACTACTACTAGTTTTCAGCATAATTAAATTGCATAAAAATAAATCAATACAGCTTACCCTCCATTTTACACAAGTTGTTCTGTGTCATGACATGTTTTGGTTACATAATGCCAAAGAACTTTAAAGAAAAAAAATTATTATGTATCATATAGAGTAAATTTCTCTTCCTTCCCTAAACATGTGGGATATTATCACAGCATTTTATAAAAGCATAATTACACATTTGTTTGGATTTCTTTAAATGAAGGTTCTCTCTTTGACATTATTTTGGTTTGAACTGAAACAGAAAAGATATTGTAATGTAGGGGATGGGGGAGGGTGAAATGCAATATTTATACATTATTTTATGAAGAGGAAACTACAGTCAAAAGTCTTTAATCCGGACTTGTCGGGACTTCGGCGATTCCGGATTATAGATCATCAGTTCAAATCTGGTAAGATGGCATGCAGAAATTATAAAATTAAAAATATGAAACCGTAATTTATGAAATAAAGAGCAATTATGATCAGGTTTATTATGAATATTTATTTGTTTACTTTATTAAACATTTCTTTCAACATGTGCTTGCATAAAGCATACATTACGCATAGTCGAAACTAGAAACTACAACCATAAAACTATTTGATGTGTATTCGTGATATTTATAATGACGAGGACTTTGATTTAAATCATATCAAAGACAGAGTACATCGAGATGAAATACTACATTTAGTAAGGAATTATAAGCCTAATAAAATAAAAACATCTGCCCTGAAGATAAAGATAGTGTTGACAGATCAACTTCTAGTTCATTGTGCACCGCGTCGTCCCCCGCCCCCTGCGGAGCAGCGTGAAATTCATAAACATATTTCGAAATTCTTCGAGAATCAAAGGATATGCTTTTTTTTTTTTTTTTGCAGCAATTTCACTTTTTGTTTGATGGACATCGAAACATGCTTTCGCTTTGTAGATCCTTTGGTAGCTCCAGAATCAGAAATTCTTTTTGATATAATCGAAAGTTCAAGCTTACTTTTATAAAATTGCTCTAACAGTCTGAAAAAAATAATAAGGCGGATCCAATTAGAAGATTAAGGAACTATGCAATCTGCAACATTAACTGAAATAGATTAGATAATTTTAGCTTAGCTTATACCGTCCGTTATACATTAAACGTGCATGCGTAAACTGTATTATGCGCACACGCTAATGGATTATGCGTTGACACAGGCACAGAAACTTTGTAGCTTTGAGGTCCTGGATTATAGATCATTCCGGATTAAAGACTTTTGACTGTAATATGAATTAAAGTTTATAACAATATTTCAATATTCAATCATCAATTTTTGATCAATTCAAAATGATTACAGTATTAAAATAAATTAACACATGCAATATATTTATAATTCAGAATTAAAAACATGTCAAAAAGAAATTACAGTACAAAGTCCAAAATCTAGAACTGCCAACAACTCTGGACTTCGGAAACAGTTTTGGAATTTAGATCATCAGTTTAAATCCACTAAGACAAAGCAATCAGAAAATTAAAAATATTATTTGCTGATATTTCTTTAAAGAAGTATTTTGCATAAAGAAAGACTTTTCCTGAATTACCAAAATGTGATATTAAACTGTGACTCAAAGCTGAAATGGAGATATTTTTTTGGATTTAAAACCATTCTATACATATTAGCCATTCTATTAAATAACATGTCATTAATGCATTGCCATCACAATCTAAAACTTCATATATATTATCATTTAGAATTTCTCATATTCCATCAACTGGAAAACTGCTGTTTACTTGTTATACCACAAAATTTTCAGCTTTCATTATAATCATGAAATTTAGTAGCTGGCTGTATATTGGGCTGGCTACATTTTTAAAAATATCTGCAGACATGTCCTCTCATTTCTGATAATCAGATTTTATATTAAAATATGTATATTAAATTATTTCCAGAACTCTTAAATTGTCTTAGTACTGCATCAGTTTCTAAAAAGTTACTTTACATCTGGATTTCATAGTGTGCAAATTTCCGACTTCCACTTGTTGATTGACGGATGTATAGTTTCGGGAAAAAAGGAAAATAGAGAAGTTCTCATTTATAAAAACTAATTTTGATATGATGCATAACAGATCAATCGAAATAATAAGTGCTTCAAACCAAATAAGGAAGAGTGACTTTGCTATGTTAACTGCATTTTGATTCTTCAGACCCTAAGTCTTTCTCCTTTCCCCGTTATGCCAACAAAATAAAAACAGTATGAGCAACATCCCATTCTAAAAAGTACGTGTTGGGGCTTCATTTATTGTTTAGGTTAGACGGAAAAATGCTACTAACCATAGCCACTCAAGGTTTGTGGCTAACAACAGTACAATGTCATTTGATGAATTGCTTTGGTCACTAGGCAGCAGGTGTTTGAAAGTGACATATAGGAATCACAGTTAATCATGCTTTTATGGCACACCTGCTTTTCTTGAACATTAGAGTCTCCATTTCAAAACTTTGTAAGGGAGATTTTTTTTTTCTGGTGGCACTGAGGTCCAGGTAGTGGATGCCTGGATTTCAGACTTTGTACTGTATTACATTAAAAAAAAATTACACATTATTTGCAGAAGAAATCATATACTGCATCAAAAGTTGTCTTGAAATATACAACACAAATCCATTATCTTCTGTTCAGTGATTCCTTTTCATAAGAAATTTCCCTTTACTTTGGTGAAACTGTGATTGAAAACAAAATATTTCATAAAATAAATATTTTAGTTAGTTCTTTAAATGTCAGTTAAATTACTTTAAAGTAGAACTAAATTATAAGTGCACACTTGCATAGTAAGCAAAAGTCTAGTGTAATGAGAACAATAAGAAAAATTACTATCATCAGACTGGCATGATATTGTTATATAAAGTAATTTGTGATTATATTTTACAAAATACATATTTTACTAGAAGAAGAAATTTATGCAAAGACGTATCTCTTATCATCAATTATAACAAGTATGTACAAATACACTAACAAATTTTCAAGGAATGTTTGAAACAAGAGAAACACATAAATAAGTGATTATTAAAGGTTTTATATCAGATTCAGTTATAAGTACGGGTGATGGCAGGACATGAGGTTACTAGATAGTGATTTTATATCTGTCTAATAACAGACATACATGCACAATAACATGGCATGATTCACATATTTTGTCAACATAGCTGATGAATTTTTAAACACAGAAGGGCATGGAAACCTACAGCTCTATCCTAAGCAACTGCTCATTGTGTGATACTGATCATAATTCTTCATTCCAGGAATTAACCCTCTGAGCGGCCCAGGTTTTTGGATCTGTAACGGAGACCTATATCTAAAGAGCCTTTATTAGTTAAATTTGTATATTTACCTATTTTAGTCTCTATTTTCATAAACTTACATTCATTAAAACGACATTTATTAATGAAAGTAAGAAAGCAAACATAAAGCCAGTATATGCCAAGTAACTAAAAATGTCATGACCGGATAAAGTTGGCCAATGTGCTCGGAGGGTTAATATGAAAACAATGTGGCATTTAGAGAGTAAATGTTAATGTAATTTGGATGCTGAATTCCAAAATGGCTTTAAAATAATTTAACATATCTTTTTATATTCAAAAGTGCATTTATTTTTCATCACATAGTGGGACAATTTAAATTAATAAAAAAAATTTTTTTTTGATGAATAAAACTGAATGCATATATAACAGATTAAAGATTTATTACTAATTTATAAATTATTAACTTTGTAATGTTTTTACCCTTTTATTGACTATTAACAAACAAACCTTAAAATTATTCTGCATATGAAAACACAAGCATGCCTCTGTAACCATTCTAACTTTTCTGTATACCTCACTGAACTCATAAAATAAAATCTACCTACATGCAAGGCATAATGGAAATGACTATATGATTGGGAATGCCTTGAATACTGAGTTTACTTCTTTGCCAGTAGTTTGGTTACACTTTCTTTTTTTTTTCATATGCAAATGAGATAATACAACAAAAAACATTTTCAGAAAAAACACTAGCCACTAAGAAAAATTCTTCAAACTTTAAGGCCTTGTTAGCAGAGAAGTTTTTTTTTTTTTTTTTAATCTTATTTTCTCATGAAACTAAGTATCGTGAGCAACAATTCATGGAGGCATTACCAAAATGTGAAAAGTGCTTTCAAAACTTTTGTGAAAAGTTCCTTTAAATGTTAGAAGCTTATGAGAAGTTTTAATTGGGCTTAGCATAAAATAACTAATGTTAAATGAAACTGATAAAAAATGCATCACAAACAAACTTGAAAACAAATCTCCAGCTAGTCCAAAAGATGTCATTAGAAAAATTTTTAGTTAGCATTAAAGATACTGATTACTAGGCCACAATTCAAAATAAGCAACAAAAATTCAAACCTCTGTACAGCTCAATGACATTTTAGTCATTGGACAGTTGTCAAAATATTTGCATTTTAAAGTCAAATTTTTTTGAGGGGCTAGGAAATTTTGTAAAATAAGCAAATGGAAGAACTTTCACCAAAATATTAGGCAAATGGATGAAAGCTAACAGGACTGTTGGAATGTTAATACACTGGCAGGAAAAATTAAATAAACAACTTTATTAAAAAAAAAAAAAAAAAAAAAAAAAAAAAAAAAAAAAAAAAAAACACTTATGTGACTTGAATGATTTGCAGCTAAGAACATGGAACTTTAACAAGATTGTTATTTTGTCAAGGCTGGCACATCTTCTCTTTCTGCAAAAATGTCATACACAGTAGAGTAGGAAAACATTTGCATTACAACTTTTAGAGGTTCACAGAATAAAGCATGTGGTCATTCCTGACCAAAATGAAAGCTTTGCAGCAGTTTTCCACGCTGTGTATTAGATTGTCCAAAAGTTTTTCTATCAACAAAGTGCATTTATGATGAGTAGCTCCTGGAAAGTGCTAGGTGTCAGCTGAATTGATACAAATTGTTGACCTAGTATGCTCCATTCATGTTCTGTCAGATTTAAACCTGGAGAATATGTGGGCTCCTCCATCTGCTGAATTCTTTCACCCTCAAGATTATTGGTAACTAGTACAACACAAAGGGGATAAGCATTAGCATTTATAGAAAGAAGTTTTAACCAATTGCACACTTAAACAAAAGTACCAAGAAACTTATTTCAGTATGTATTCATAGTTATAGTGGTAAAAATGTGTAGATCAGTGTCACCATTCAAAACGATGCCTTCTCCACCACCTTTGTAACAATGCCTTTCATGGTCACAGATGTGTCCATGAATAGAATACTCACTCCCCCATCCAATCTGTTAAATTTCCATAAGTGCAGATTGTAATTTTACTGAGAAACTGAGGAAGTGTGTTCGATAAAACAGAAATTTTTGGGAATACAGCTAAACACAAAACAACTATAAATAGATGCACATAATGCTTAAAAACGTTAACTTCTAAATCAAAGTAAGAAAAGGAAGTTGGAAATATACATATCTAGCAATGCAACATTATATTGGAAATTTTGGAAAATTTGAAAATTTCATTATGCATTTGACTATCAACTCTCATATTTAACAGTTTGTTATTATTATTGTATTTGTTAATATTAGCATGTATTTGACATTTTACTGACAGTAAGATTTCACTGATGAGTAGATTCAAATGTACTTTTTTTGGGGGGCGGAAGGGGAACAAACTGCTACCCTAAAGTTAGATGAATAATAGAATAAAAATAAGATTACTGGTTTGCGGAATAAGGTATTAAGACACCCCAAGATGTAAAGCAACAAAACACCTACAAACAAGGGGAAAAACCCTGCCAGGCGTGCAATGAAGATTATTTAAACCCAGAAACATACCAAATTGCTGAGGGTGTCAAAGAAAATCTACCAAATCAGAAAAGTAACTAGTCAGAGTTCAAGTTTACAGAAGGAACAGCTTCTATAAAACAATTAGATCCAGGAAACAGTCACAAAGAAAAAGGTAAGAAAATTATGTCACAGGAGAGAAGGAGAAAACAAAAATTAATATTAAAAATTATTGTTACGAATTTTGTGCATACATAATAAAATTAAGTTTAAAATTATAGTATTTCTTGTACAATATAATGTGAAAGGCTTCAAGAGGCCTTGCCGTAAAAATTAAGTTGCAGGGGCAAGTCCATTTAGCATTGAAGTAAATGGCTACCTTGTCAATGCGAGATAGCAACAAACTGACAATGGTTTGGGCAGCATGAAATCGCCAAATGTTGTCAAAATTGACGACATTTTGGTTTTGTCCCTGTATAACTGGTACAGTTATAAAATAAGTAATTAATCCCTATATGTAGTTTGTAACCGTATCTGGGCCCTTTTATGTATATGCCTCCCACCAATTTTAAGAAATGGAAGGTACTGAAAGTTTCTCAGTGGCTGGGAGGAAACTATATAAGATCAGCGAAAGCATCAGTTCTCAGTTCAGAGTTGACTTCACAGCAGTTTGAAGTGGTAACTACTGACTGCACTCTGTCATACTTAGAAGAATTGTAGAAATAATTTTGTGGAAAGTTTCAGAACCGTTTAGTATTTCCTTAGGAAAAATTAAATTTATCAACCTGTCATTTGTTCTGTGTACATTCAATCCATCACAAACCTGTATGCAAGCAATACTATATAACTAATTCTGTTAGAACATTTCTAAATACAAATATAAATATTTCATATAATTTGTTAATTAGAGCTAAAAGATACCTTTTATTACAGCCTGTGTATTTCTAAGTGAGACAGGCAAAGAGGCACTATGCGTTGTTGAAATCGCTAGTGCTGGAATAGTCAAGTCTTTAGTATCTTTGTCATGAGTTTCATAACCCTCTTGTGTAGATGTTATTTCAGACAGCTTTGTTTCAGATGTATCTGAAGAAATTACAGCATTTTTCACATTTGCCATTTGATAAAGTCGACCACAAACACTTAATGAATTTGAAGGTTGAGATATCACAGATATATCTTTAGCAGCTCCTAATGGATTTTTCAATGCTATCACTGGTAGTCTAAATGATAAAACAAGAACAATCACAAAATGTGTCAAAAAAATTAACATAATATATGGCTTGTAGGTAAAATACATTTTAATTAAAAAAGCTCAAAATTCATAATTTCAAATAACTGATATATAGAAAAAGAAAGAATACCAAGGACAGATATGTATCGAGTTAAATAAACTGTAATAATCACATGCATGCACACACACACACACACACACACACAAAACAAAAAAAAAAAAAAAAAAAAAAAGAAAATTACCTTGAATCAGTGATAGTTGAAACCGGAGTTGTATGCATAACTTTAATTGTAGATGTTGAGAGTACTTGCTGACAAATATTTCCACCCTGAACTCTAAAATTTTGCACAGCTCCAGTAATAGGTTTAGATGTTGAGCATGTAGTTGAACTTGCTACAATGTTACTGAAAGACAGGTACTGTGATCCGTGAACTAATCTCGCTACAACAGGACCAGAATTTATTGCTGAGGGATTTGTAGAAGGTAATCTCTCTTCAATTGATAATAAAGGAATTGTAGACACACCGTTACAAGACCTTATTCCTGGTTCCTGTTTTATAACAATAGTTTGAAATCCAGTAATAGCTGAACTTTGTAAACCTGATAAGCTAGCACAATTAACTTTTGCTTTTGTTACAGAGTTTGAGGATATCAATGCAGGAGAAATGGATGTTGTTATAGTGCTGAGAGAATTAGCAGTTTCAATACTTTGGTGACTTAAAATTGGCTGAAGAACTGGAGGCTGTCCAACAAAAGATGGAGAAGATGGCTTTAAGTCAACATTAAGAACATCATGAACATGTGAAGAGAGATTACCTACAGCTCTTACTTGTTCTGACTTAATATGAACAGGTGTAACACTGACAATTTGGGAGGCACTCAGGCTTCCAACTACATTCTTCGTATTTGACAGAGATAAGGCTGAGCCTAATGATGATTGCCGAGAACTGCTAATATCTGGAACATTTGTTGGGGCAGTTGAAGATAATGTCTGTTGCATAGTATCCACAGTACTTGTAACTGATGAAGTCTGAAGATCATTCTGAACAAATTCTGGATTTTTACTTTGGTTATCAATGCCTAACATAGTACATTTGACTTCTGCTTGGGGTGGAGTGTTATTCACAGCATGCATAATGTAGCGGTTTGAGGTATGACCAGCTTTAGGACTTCCCTGAAATACAGCATCAATTTAGAAAATCCATTCCATACAATATGTAAAAAAAAAAAAAAAAAAAAAAAAAAAAAAAAAAGACAAGACAGTAAAAAAATAAAATATATTTAAAGCATGATATTGGCTTCAAATATTAGTTAATTACTACTTCAGACTACTTTTAAAATTAATTAACTAGTACTTGAAAGTCAAACTGGAAAGGAAACAGTTTAAAATTAAGCAAATTCAAAATTTACACAAACCTAAGGTACCTAATTTTAAATACTGAATTTACCTGCATATTTCTTCCCCTTGGGTACTTCCCCATAGTTTTTTAGCATATGATGTAAACTGTAAATTATGATGTAAATTTTGAAAACTGTTTATACAAATATGAAATTACTTTGTGTAATTAAAAGGAATGTTACTGAAATTGATAAGCACTTCAAAATATAGTAATACTAGTGTGCCTTTATGCACACTTTTTAGTATGCTATGAGTATTTTTTACGCCGTCTCTTTAGAAACAGTGTACTCCCTGTAGTTCTTCTCTTCTCATTTTCAAGTAGTAAAATTAGGAAAATGGGGGAAAATGCATGAGTAAATAGATTACAACAACAAATTATTATTGCTCTCCACTAATAAACTTTTGCAAAATGAACAATGCAATAAAATGTTCTAGCACAATTAATATCAATAGCATATATTGATGAATTCATATTAACACTCTGAGGCAAAATAAGAAAGCTTCTTCATAATGAAACTAATGCACTTCATAACTAAGTAAACATTTAACCCTAACAAACCCATTCTCCAAATGGTCAGGAGTTAACTTTTTAAGAGACTACAAAAGAGCACCTCAGTAACTTCTTTACGAATAAATCTAATGATTTAAAAAAAAAAAAAAAAAAAAAAAAAAAAAAAAAGATTTTCTAGTTGCTGTGGTAAAATTCATTGAACAAAATTGTGCTACTATGATTTAATGAAACTTTTTTATGCTTTTTTACTGCTTCATTTGTATAATTGAACAAACTAAAGCAATGATGTAAATCTGAATTCATTTAATTATTAGTATTCTAGGAATAAAATAAATTTGTAAGTATGATGCATTTTCATTAAATGTAATCCATCTTGTCAGTGGGAGTTTTGGTGAAAAGAAATCAAATTCCGTAATAAATGAACATAATGAGCATCTGATATGAAGAGCTGATGATATTTTTCTCAAAAATTTCATTATAACTCTGTGGGTTCTGTTATAGATTTGCACCACTGAGAAGGAAAAGTTAAAAAGGTTTAATTTTATCTGGACCTCCAGAACATTCCCTTTTTTAAGGTGCAAATATACGATTATTAGGATCCATGAAAAGGATAAAGATCTGAGTCTTATATATCAAATTACAGACCAATTTCCTTAACTAGCACGTTGCATATGACCATGAAAAGAATCATTTTTAGGAGATCAGTTGGTATCTAGAAACAAGTAAGGTCCTTGAGGTAGAACAAGCCGGCTTTAGAAGGTTTAGATCACGTAACCACATATAACATTATTCAGCCAGTCCATTATAGATGCAACGGATATAAAAGATAAATTTTATTGGTTGACTTTGTCAGTTTACGACATTGTGCGGAAGGAAAATATTCTTTTGAAGCTCCCAGATATCGGCATTCATTCTAACATGCTTCAATGGTAGTATGGTCTTCTGAATAATCAGCTTTCCAGGGTTAGGTACAGCAATTACGATTCAAAATACAGAGCTCTGAAAACAGGTCTTCTACAGGGAGCAGTCTCTAACTGCTTTCTGTTTAATATTTATATTAATAATCTGGCAAATGAACTGAAATCAGTTAATGACATTAAATGTCTTCTTCATGCTGATGATCTCAAGGAGGTTAGAATAGAAGGAGGGAGGGTTCATGGTTTCCTCTACTGTCGGGGAATGAAACTCTACCGAACAAGCGGCGTCCATGTTTGCAACTTCAAAACATTGCATTACGGTAGTGAAACGTATGTGCTTCTAAGCTGTTCCGTGCATGTATTTTTCAGTAAAAATATGTTAAATTTATAATGAAATGCTTTGCTATTGTTAGTTTTTTGTTTTAAAGTTATAAAGATGATATTCGTAATTTACTATATACAGAAAATCATTAAGAAATAGTTCGAAATCTAAATGCATGTGCATAACATTAAAAAATGATGTTTCTGCATATTTCACGATTTTGTTTAGGTTTTATTAGCGACCTGTTGGGAGTACTTTCCAATTTTTCTTTTAAGAGGTGATATTTCTGATTTATTCACAATATTATCATAATTAATTAAAGAATTATTTCATATACAAAATTTAAGAGATAGGAAAGAAAGTTATTTTAGTATGCTTAAATACTTCAGCTTTAAGTTGTAATACACTAAAACAGAAATTCAAATATTATTTTTATTGGCTATAGCAGTTGTTGTAATAGCTAATTTCAGGAGACTTGTACTTGATGCAAATAGTATTTCATTTTTTAAAGCATTTATTGGCATGAAATTAAATAATTTAAATAATTCCTAATTTCAATTAAAAATACATTGTAACTTTTATCCATTTATCAGTTTTTAGAAGTATTTTAGGGTAGGGGAAGATTGTTTTTGTGGAAACCGGAGAAAAGTGTTAATTTTGATTAAACTACAGTATATGAAATAACTTCATGGAATTAGAAAATCTAAATGCTAAACAAGTAGAGATAAAAATAAACAGCAAATAGATTTGCATATACATGTCAAAAGCGACAGCTCATTAAGGGATGGTGGATTTAAATGGTTGCTCAACTCAGTGCATCTCCAAGTTAAAATTAAAAACTTATTTATAAATTATTATTTAAAAATTATATTCTGACTTATTTCTAATACTTTCCTGATCAGAAAATTTCTACGCATAATGGAAAAATGTCTTGTCTGATATTAAATAAAAAATGCAACAGTGGAAAAAATATCTTCATATTTTATATTTATGAATCTCAAAGAAATTGTCTTGAATTAAGCTGAATTACAGAAATATACCTATATAAATTTTTGCATACATCTTTCAACATGTTCAATTGTGTAAATATTTTACTTACTTTTATTGCTATACTACCAAAAATTTGTGAGTTTATGCAAAAAAATTTTAACAACAGAACAGTTTATCTTCATCAAATGCAGAAATTATATTCATAACAGTTCACAAAACTTAAAAATGAACAATAATTAATACATAAAGAAAAGCATTGCTTTATTTAACACCTTTACAGTTCATAAAAATAGTAACAATTGATTTCTTATTTTTCATGAAACACAAAACAAATTACCTAAAACGTTCAAATTATACAGTTTAAATCCTAGCCTATATCATTGTATATTAAGGAACGAAGATGCCAGCTATAAACAGAAACATTAAATATATTTAACATATTTTGATTATTATCAAGTCCTTTTTTTCACATCTGGAAAGAAAACAATATGACATTGTGATATTTTTAACATAGTTACCAAATTACATAAAAAAAGAAAATCATTACTTACGTATGAAAAGTAATCCCAGGAATCTTTATCGAAAATCTATTTGTGCTTCCATATGCAACGCAAGCTGACTTGCTTCAGAAAGAACAGAATAAAAGGTTGCAATTCCTTGCACACATCATAGCGATAATAGTAACATGGCCGCCAAGCTTCACCATTTGTTGAACCTTCCCTCCTTCTATTCTAACCTCCTTGGATGATCTGGTCATGTGGACAGTGTCACCCCAAAACACTGCTGAGTATAGTATCAACTAAATTCTGAATAAAGCGCTAATAACCATAGAAAGCTGGACCCAATTAAACAACAAGAAAGTAAATCTTGATAAGACGTTGAATCTTCTTCAATCACCCACAAACTCTTCCTGGCATGACTTTTTTTACAAAAGGCATTTAATCCCAACTACTGAAAATTTTAAAAATTTGCGTGTAACCCTTAAGAGAAACCTTTACTGGTGATCACATGTGGACGGTATAATACGTTGAGCTTTGAGTGTTGAGAATGGATAAATTACCAATCTACTTTCTCCTTAGAATTTTATTACGCACTTATTCTTCTAAAACTCAAGAAAATTATTTTGTTACATCTCTTACCAGATTTCCTTTGTGGCTACCTGAAGGTATAGTAATTATGTGACAATCCTTCCACTTTTTGATTAATCTCTTTGTCGTCCGTAAAGCATCTAGCACGTTCATGGAGGTAAGAAAGGAAGGAGTGGCCAACCAGCACTAGAAGTGAAGCACTGCTTTGAAGCTTCGGTCACCAGATAGGGTGTTTTTTTGCAAGGAGGTTCTAACCTCCTTGGTTTTTTGTTTATATGCAGAAGCTTCCCTTGACAAGTGCTTCTGATAGTATTTCGACACACCAACAGTTCCATACAATCGAAAAAGGGACACTTTTCAGCATGAACGAAACATTCATGGTGTGATGGATAATAGCAATTGTATAGTTTAGTGTCATTTACGCAAAAATCACACCTTGGTTATTTTTCGATAACTAACAACAGCGATTTTGATTATGAATTTGTTTTATAAAATTCAAAGCTGTTGAACTACAAAAATATAGATTTTAACAAAAATGTTATGCTTAAAGAATGAAAAATACCTTACGGTACCTTTAAAATTGTATACGTCTTTCAATACCCTTGATAGAGTATTCGCTACTTTTATTTAATGTTCCAAATGCTAAAATGTTTTAAATAAAATAACATTTTTTCACATCCATATACTATTGTAACATGTACCTTTTAAAATTTTTTAGAGGAGAGGCTTTACTGCTGCTCATTTTGAACTCATCGTTTTAATTTTATATATCTGAAAAATAATCACTTTGGGCTTACACGTTTTACTTATTTGGGTTAATTAAAAATAAAATCCTTATTTTATTCCCTTTCAGAAATGTTCAGAGAAAGTTAAGTACTATTTAAAGTATTTACGCTAATTTCTAATAATTCTCTAATTTAAAATGAACCGAATAGAGCATTAATTAT